GGAGCGTGGAAATGAAAATTATTAACTTGTCAGTAACACAGTTTGTCCATTTCTCTGCTTTCAGTTCCCATTCTTCATTTTCCCGGCGTTCCCCGTGCTCTTTCCCCTTATTAGTAACATTCCAAATTTATTTGTTATTGTTTCACAAGGGTTTATCTCACGTGCTTTGGAATCCATAAGCCCATTAAGATTTAATTCTTAATGACTTTGTTCTATTTACCGCAAATCAGAGTAGATTGAAGACACACACTTGACACACCTTTTGTTGGTTCTTTATCATGTTTTGCTGCAGTTTCGATAACAAACTCTCCATTAGCTCAATTAATCACTGTTGAAATCTGTTTTGCTGCTTGACGAGAGCCGAGGCAATAAATGTCACTCTCATGTACGCTTACTTTTGCTACTGACCCCGATAAAATCAATAATCGGCTTTGATGACGGCCGAATGGGATCGACCTTCCACAAAATTCCTATTCATTTGATATTATTCGACTGGCAATTTCCGATTCCTCGATAGTCAATATACAGATCTGTTTAATAGATAACAAATATGAGAATCGGCTTTGAAACTGAAATACCGCGGAATTTGTAAGCATATTATTAATCCACGCCATCTACTCGTGATCATGATTGTTTTAAACCTGTGTGGCCGGCCAGCCTCTAGATTCTTTGGTTAGGCGAAACTGTCACTCGCGGATTAATTTGGTTGAGTGGAAGAGCAAAGTTTAAAAGAATGTCGGGGTGTAACTAAGAGTTATTGGATAATGCTATCCACGCCGTCTAGGAGAGAGAACACTTTAACACGAAAAGTGGCTATTTGCATTATTGTCAGTGACTGAAGCAAGACCCTGTATCAAATACGTACTACAAAAATACGAATTGGAACAATTAACCGAATACGCGCAAGTGGACCATTCTAGATTGGCTATGAAAAGCTCAATGGATCGTCGCGATGCCATATCAAAACTAAAGACAAATCTTGACAGAATCATGGAGGAAACTGAGAATATTTTGAGAAATGAAAAAGCGGTTACCTCGTCGCATCTATTCGCGAGTAGAAAGGCTAGTTATTCGGCGAGTGGTACAAAGCAGGAGCCTGTGGCTGGCATTAACGAAAGATCGGCATCAAAACTCGAGGTTATCAACGTTTTACAGCAGATTCTTCAAAAGCAAGAGGAACTAACAGTCGTGGAATATACAGTCAACAACAGCAGGTTCAAAGTCCTTGTGATCGAAGATACCGAACTATAACTCAGGCATGGATATTTTATAACTTGAGAAATATCATCTTCTGTAATATCTCGTCTACCCGTTTTATTGGAGGATTATTGAGATAATTATAGGGCAATTTATTTCTTTGTCGGCAATGATGATATGCCTTAAATAATTATTGAACAAAAAAAAAGAAGTCTTTAAGAATCAAGCTCATTTGTCTACTCATACCGTTTTTCCTAATTGGTCCAGTTTGGCCACGAAGAAACAATGAGCACCTGCGGAAATGAGCAGAATTTTGCTGGGTCTCCACGATGGTGCAGATAGCTTATTTTTACCATTTGACCTTCTTTTAAAGTGGCTTAATGTCAACCTGAAAGGCGGATTATTCGTCATTGCTGAGATGCCATAGACATCTCAGCAAGAGGATGGAGAGGAAAAGCTATAAGGTCTAAGAATGTTTCGATAAGTTTAAACCGAGGATAGGTTTCACAATTGCAAAGCTTTGTCGTCAAATATTGTGCTTCTTTAGTGCGGATCACGGAAAAACAACCGATTTTCGAAACCCAGATCCTTTCTGTCTTGGATCCTACACGACTGTATGCGGCTATTTTTAAAATTTATTTATGTTTAATCATAATAGTTTTAGTTTGTTTATCAAGCAAACGCAAAGGACCGATGATCGGTGCGTGACGATGCATGCCTGCTCCGGTAATCTTGAAGCATGCTTTAAATAGAATACTGCAGAATTCGAAATATGGGGACCAGTCCTTTATTTTTTTACAGAAATACTTTATGAAAAATACTTAAATAAGCGTTTGAGAGCTTTCAGAGTTCACAATGTTGTGGAAGGCCGGCATTAATTCCTCATTCCTTGAAAAGAGGGTACTTCCTTCAAGGTTGTTTATCTACACTGCGAAAGGTTTTGATTAAAAGGTAAAAAGAAATGCCACAGCTGATACAGAATGCTTTGGTTAATGAATGAGCAATACAAAAATTAAAATAAATTAATAAATTATTCTAAAAAGGTACAGTTAAACGTGTAATACGTAAGAAACCATTTGTTTAACACTGGCCCCTTGTTCGGAATAGCGTAGAGGGCACATTATACAAAGCAAAAAATTTCAAGACTTTCCTCTCAAAACCAGACAGTCTTTTGAAAAATACTGGATTGACGTTTTCATGGCATTTTCTTCGCAAGAGTGTGTTTTGCTACTTATAAACTGTCGGTTTACTTCTCTTATCTTTTACTTATTTTAATAAAGAAAAGTTTCTCCCAAAGTTTGATAATTTTGGTATTTTGGGGGGTAAAGGTTTCGATGTTGTTGATGTTGCTGAGCAAGGGCGACGATGACAGCAACGAGAACGTCAAAAACAAAAAAAATTGGTGTATCACGGAAAACCACAAATTTGCACGTCCATCACGTTTCTCTTGTACGTTTTTCTGCCGTCACTGCACGACTACAGCGTGAAAATGCCTAATTTCACGTTTTATGGAGGACGTAAACAAGCGACGAAGAATTTTTTCTTTCTCTTTCTAAACTTGAGTGCGGTCGCCAAGAAATCAACTCCAAGGAAATTTTCCTACATGTGACATATTCAGTGAATTGGAATAAACGCGAAAAAGTTTGAGTTTCAAAAGTGACGTTTTTGTTGCCTTCGCTGTCGTCGAAGCTAATATATAAGCTGACACATGAAACTTGGTCAGTTTTTCTTGGATTTTCCCTTGTTTTCAAAGGACAACTTTTAATATGTTTTTATGCCTGTTAGAAATCGTTGAGAAATGCTCGGAACTGAAAAAAGAGATGATTTTGGAAGGATTTTGAGAGAAGAAAATGGAAGTTTCCAGATGGAGATAATGTAAAGAACATGTTTTTGGGATTTTGTGTTAAGCCTACACCAAATTCTAAGTGGCCAATTTAAGACGTTACCTGACGAGATGTAAAGAATACAAAAGAGACGCCTAGAAACAAGGGTGTCTGCGATGTTTCGCTGACGGACTTACAGGAAATTAATTTCGTTTTGTGGCGCAATTGATGTAGCCCAAATTTTTCGTTCTTTCTTTCCTTCTTTTTTTGTTTTTGTTTTGCTTTGTTTTGTTTATTGATTGATATTCATTTTGCCCCCGCAGGGATTTCGCCCAGAAGGCGAAATCCCGAGGAGTCACTCTTAGCACAGGGAGCCCATTCAATCTGTTTATGTAGCCGATTGTTATTTTATAGTAAATGTACTTGATTTACCGTTTGCTTCACCTGTAGCGATATATCGCTAACTATGTGTATAAATCAATGATAAATAAACGTTGAATTACCTTGCCTGTGGTGTGTAGTCACGATTCACGATTCTTCTCGTACCTTCCAATCGAAAATCCATCCAAACGGCCCGGAGCTAGCCCTCGAAGAAAATCAAAATCCCACAGTATTCGTGCGACTGGAATGCTTAGCAAGATTCATACGTGCCAGCCACAAACCGTCCCGCTGATTGCCTTTTTTTTATTGGATGTCGTTAAACAAGTGGTTAAATCAGCGGGACGGTTTCTGGCTGGCACGTACGAATCTTGCTACGCATTCCAGTCGCACGAATACTGTGGGATTTTGATTTTCTTCGAGGGCTAGCTCCGGGCCGTTTGGATGGATTTTCGATTAGAAGGTACGAGAAGAATCTTGAATCTTTTGACCTTTATGAAAAATCGCTCAAAAAACCGCTTTTGAGGCAAAAAGACGACTATACACCACAGGTAAGGTAATTCAACGTTTATTTATCATTGATTTATATACATAGTTAGCGATATATCGCTATAGGTGAAGCAAACGGTAAATCCAGTACATTTCCTATAAAATAACCATCGGCTACACAAACAGATTGTGTGGGCCCCGTGTGCTCTTAGCTAGTAACTCTCGCGTATATTAATGAAAGTACCCACAGTTGAAATATACAGTCAGTACGTCAGAAAAAAATCTCGATTTGCTTAAACAGGGGCCGCGAAGAATCGGTAGAGAATGATGACTTTTCTATTGTTTGCGCCTGCAAGTACGAGATGGTTAGGATGACGTAAAGACAGAAAATCCCGAACAGACCGCTTTAAGGTAGATTCTGTGACATTTATTGTGCAGTCATTTTTGGATACTCTTTTGCGTTTCGAGTTATCTGTGACATTCTGTGGAGCAGTTGTTTTGAAAGTTATGGACAAAAGACACTATAGTCAAGCGCAGATGAAGTTATAAGGTGCGTATAACTGTGTATATATAAACGCTTGGAGAGTTTGCAAGACACGATTTCACAAATCTTTGATTGGAAACCTTGCCCGACACTTTTTCTCTCTCTTTGACCTGAATAAGACTCAGCCTCAAACAAGCAAGACGAGTGAACAACGGCTAGCTTATCACTAGCAGAACTGATGGGCGATTACAGAAATTCGCCGACAATAAAATTCTGTGCTGGCTTATTCCCTGCTCACTATGTCCTTCCGCTATTAAGTGTAAAATAAGACTAGAATGGCGAGCGTGAATTGATCTTTGAACGTCCTTTTTATTTCTAAGGCTTACTTTCCCGCAAATAAAATGAACTGAATGTAAAAAGTGAAAGAGAATAAGCGACAAATTCAACTTCTGATTAAGTCTTCTCTATGGTTTAGAATAAAGTATTCTCCAAATTAAACTGAGAATGTTTTGATCAAAGCTGTGTAAATCGAACAGAAACTGTGCATGGAACCTTACGTTTCCTGTATTTATCTCACCTATTGTATAATTGTATGGAATATGTGTGAAAATCTTAATTGTGAATCGGTATATATCAAAGAGCTACACAACGAGCAAGAATACTATTGACCGACAACATACAGAGCGGTGGCAACCATAGTGTCAGCTATTACTAGTTGGTTTGTTTGTTTTGTTTTGTTTTGTTTTGTTTTTTTTTAACAATATTTTCGTTCTGTTTTATTATTATTATTATTACGCCTTGACGTCCACTGTAGGGGTTTCTGGGAGCGACAGAGGGCTGCATTTTTCGATATAAGAGTGTGTCATCCCAATGCGGACTCGTATAGAGATCTTAGCCCCAAGCAAATCTACAGGATTCATGAAAATGAAAAGAGGCGAAAATACAACTCTCGCGTCACAGAAATAGAGCAAGGCACATTCACCCCACTGGTATTTACAACGACGGAAGGGATGGCTGACGAATGCTTGAGACACCACTCAAGATTAGCCGAGCTATTATCTGCAAAAAAGCAAGAGCGCTACGCCACAAAAATTTCATGGGTCAGTGCGAAAGTGTCATTTGCAATTTTGCGGAGCGCGTTTCTATATATGCCTAAGGGGATCGAGACCCCCAAGAATGAGGAACTTAGATGTTAAGGACAGGGGTCTAGAAATAGAGAAGGGTCAAGCAGGACTTCCCTAGACTCAACAGCCTAGAACGGCTGAAGGGGATGCACCCGGCGCGGAAGCGGCAGATATCGCGGATGAGAGTTTATTATACGGGCCCATTGATTACATTCCTCCTGGTGTTTTTGACTTGATCGACGAGAAACTGATCTTTGATGCTGCAACCACAACAAAGGGCTCAGCCGGGCCGTCGGGGATGGATGCCGAACTATATCGAAGAATCCTTTACTCCAAGAATTTCAAGGCCGAGGGCAAGGTTTTGAGAGAGGAGATAGCCGTTTTCACAAGAAATCTGTTAAAGATCGCTTACCATCCATCTTTGTTGGAAGGCTATACCTCTTGCAGACTCATCCCCTTGGACAAAAACCCTGGAATACGACCTACTGGCGTTGGTGAGGTCCTGAGGCGAATTGTTGGAAAAAATTGTTTCTGGAATTTTGAAGGAAGATCAAAGAGACAGCGGGCCCCTTTCAGGTTTGCGCAGGCCATAGAGCAGACTCAGAGACCGTGATACATGCTATGAGTCAAGTGTTTGTAGAGGAAGGAACAGATGGTATTTTACTGATAGATGCAGGCAACGCCTTTAATCAAATGAACAGATCCGTCGCCTTACATTACATCCGGATAACCTGCAAGGAAATGTCACTTTTACAT